ACACTAGCTGCTGCCTGGTGTCGACTGTAAACTTGATGAACTATATGACGCCAGGTGGCTGAGCTGTGTTAGGGGATTGTGATCCCAATCAAAGTATCTGTGAGCTGATTTGTAATGTCTAAGGAGTATCAGTTTCTATGGCCTTTTAGGCACACATACACTTTCACACATGCGTACTACGGGCGTGTACACACATGGATATTGGTGGCGGGGGTTACAAAATTAAACGATGTCGAAGTACGCAAGGGGGCTTCAGAACGTTTGTGGAAAAATTCTGTGAATTCCCCTTCCTTGTTTCCACGGACATTTTGAAGCCCCCTTGTATTGCTGCCAGGGTTTCAGTTCATAACTGCACAGGCTTATTCCCAACAAAACATGTATGCATGGTCTGTGATCAGGGGACAGTGGCAGCAGACAAGTCCTCCCGGTAATACACTTGTCTCCGTCTGGATAGAGTGCCTTAAAAAAATGGCCCAATCAAATCAGCGGCTTCGAGGGCCAATTAAGTTCCAGACAGGAAGGTCAGTCAGCACAGAAGTTTATGACAGCTGTTTCGGGAGGGCTCTAAAGCTGTCATCTTGGGTAGATTCTCTCGAAGAGGTTTTCAGACAACTGAGAGCTGTCTTGGTGAGAAAAGGGCCCGGAGAGTTGCACTGGGCGATTTTTCCATCACAGCTAGTCAGTCACCTGCTCATTCGTCAAGGACAGCCAGGGCTGTCCCAGGAGAATTCTGTTGGGAAATCTTATCCCACCCACCTTACACCCCAGTTTTGCCCCTTCAGACTTCTTTGTATGTTCCCCAAACTCTACATTTAAGGAATATCATTTGAGTGCCCCCAGGATGCCCAAACTGGGGGCTTGATGTGGAAATCCCAGTGCGGGGGAACGCCTGTGGGAAGGGCGAAGAGCCGGAAGCTCGGCCGTCAGAAATGTATAGACCCACACGGAGGAGAATGTACACTAGTTTCACTTTTTTTTCCCCTTGTAATGAAAGATGTTTTATATTTAGATATATCTTGTTCCTTGTAATAACACATGCCCAATGAAAACCAAAAATTGGAAAAGCAGTTACACTGCCTGAGTGCATGGGCAGTTACAACAGCCGAGCATGCTCTTAAATGACCGTTCTATTGCAATTGATCGCGAGCCCTCTGGACTCCGTGTGAGAGGTAGTCAAAGTCAGGAGAGAAGGCGTGGGGAGAACTTTCCTTTGTATTGGAGAGAGTTAGCCCTCCACAAACAGCACCGCCGGTGAACGTTCTGTGCAAGAATTCTAGGTGGAGAAATTAATGTAGTCCATGTCAATTTCATGCTGCGCTGACGTCATTTGTTCGTTACCTTGGTCACTGTCATTCTCCTCAACCCGACGTATTTCATTCTTCCAGTGAGAAGATTTTCATCAGCAGGAGGCGCATCCATGGCTCTGTTGTCCTGTGCCGCCCTTCGATTTCCTCTTCCAAACCAGCTCTTTCCCCATTTCTGCCCGACCTGTTTTGGGAGTAGATGTGCCGGATCTCTACTGTCTACCTTACTACCTGTCTCATCACATCTCTTGGAATGAACAGGCCTCTTTATCTCCTGTTCCCAGGTGTAACGGGCATGATCTGCTTCTTCACCACCACCACCAACAACCAGTTCTGGACGAAATTCCAACACTCATGCCCATGGGTCAAGAGTCCTTGCCCTGCTTTGAAGTTGGTTTTTATTTGTTCCATGTCTTGCTCAAATTCATCCCTCTGTTCTTGTGTTTTCCTTGTTTCCCTTGCAAGAAACGATTCCAGAGGGATTGGGGCCACCTTTGGGCCTGGGGGCAGAACACTCTCTGTCCATGAGATCTTCGAATGAAATTTCATCTTCATTCTCATCTTTCTTTTTGTCCTTTGTCAACACAAATCGGAGGAAAGGAGTGCATGACCGGAGCACACACCTCACCCCTCCAGGGCGTACCCCAAACCCACCACACTTGTTTTCAACAGCTTCAAGGAAATGCTTGCCCACGAGCTGTGTTGTGTTTTTGTCTTTTTTGGTTCGCCGCTTCTTCCGTTTTCCTCATACCGATTCTCCAGGGTACCCTTTGCCAGTTCAGTGTCCCTTGCTTCCATGGGAACACTCCACGGTTCACATTTCCTCTCCAGCGTCCAGTCACGAGAGAACTTCCCCCTCTCCCCTGGAGTGCGCTGTCCTTGCTTAAGGAGCACACACAAACAAATCTGGGACCTGCACCTTGACTTTTTTGGGGGTGGGGGGAGCAGTTCGCTTGGCTCCTGTCATTCTTGTCATCTTCCTTCGATTTCTTTTCAGCGTCGCCTTGTGCTACCTGACGTGGATTTTGTGACCGGATTTAACTGGCTGAGTGACAGCCTTGCTCAACGGCTGTTGCCTTGCTCCGTTTTCTCTAGACCAAAGGTTTTGTCTTCATTGATCTTCCCTTTCTTCTTCCGCTCCAGCCTTTTGCTGCCCCGGGCCTGAGCCTGTTTCTTGAGGGGCATGGTGGAGACAGGTGGCATGGGCCAGACATAAGCACAGGTGAATGCTGTCAGGAGCTCTGCCCCGGGGGCAGGGGGAGGAGGCTGACTGATAGCCTCACCTTTTGATAGCTTTGTTTAATAAGGGTTTCTATGGTTTTGTAATAACATCCACTTACCCCCATCTATGAGGGGGCTTCAAACGTGTGTGGAGACGTTCCACGCTCATTTCTTGTTCACACTGATGTTTTGACGCCACCTCTAACAGCGCTCACCAAAACCTGTGTGCCAACCTGCACGCACACACCCGTGTGTGTGCAGACAGCCCAGTGGGCATTACCTTGGGCAGGTAAGCTGTGCCCGCACCACTCATTCATAGCGCCCTTTCCCATCACCCTAAATAAAAAGTGACAACTGTCTACAGAGTGAATGCCTCTCCACCCCGCCACTGTATCTGACTGTCCTTGTCACTTTTGAAAAGTGAGGTCAGAACAATAATTGTCCTCCTGTGATTGGCTTATCTGGTTCGGCACCATGCCCCCTGGGACCATCCATGCGTGACCAGCTAGCTGGTCACCTCGCTTACCCAGTCATCTGGGCACCCAGAGCGCTTCCATTTCCTTTGCTCATGAACAGAAGTGCACCTTTGCTCACCTGCTCACAGTAGTTCTCAGGTCTGTCCGTACCCAGGGGGCAACAGCTGAATCTTAAGGTTGCTCGCGCTTTGGTTAAACCTTTTCATTCTGAAGTGGATGCAAAGTTTTCCTTTCAACCACCGGTGCTTTCTGTTTCATCACGTCTTAGACCATCCCTTACCCCACTTGCTCCCTGCTTTCCCTGCCCCTCATGCTTCCAGAACCCTCTACACTTGGCCCTTAGGTCATGCCACCCTTCTGATCTCGAAGGGCTGATGATCCTCGGGGGTACACCCCTCACGAGTGTGACTGCTCCTTCCACCGGCTCGTCAGTTGGCCTGAACCCCCGTGTTCTAGCAGTCACCGCGCTGCCCTGCCAGCCTGCCCAGGTGCCCTCTGGCATCGCGGTGGTCAGTGGCGGTTCACTTGCGCGGGCTCCATCGGGTGCCGTGTTCGGCCGGGGAGAGCCGAGCGAGTGTCGATTCGATTTTGCGTCGGAGCGTGTCGCCGGTGGCCGGGGCATCTTGCCGCGGGCTCGTGGGCCGGCCACGGAGCGTGTGCTGGGGCAGCGGCTGGTCGTTCCCTGGCCCGTTTCCCAGGTGGGCTCTTTCTGGGCTGCTGACGGTTTACCAGGTAGATCTGTGTTGGAACGATTCCGCGCCCCAGCCCTTTCCACTCGCCTGCGAAAGCCCTGGGGTGCGTTGGGAGCCTTTTAAGAAAGGCCTGCCTTTGTCTCCCGCTGCCCAGACCTGAAGACCATGACGGAGCGACTGCGCAGCCGCTACTACGTGACCCGGAAGCTCTTCGTGGCGGACCTGCAGCGGGTCATCGCCAACTGCCGGGAGTACAACCCCCCCGACAGCGAGTACTGCCGCTGCGCCAGCGCCCTGGAGAAGTTCTTCTACTTCAAGCTCAAGGAGGGGGGGCTCATTGACAAGTAGTCCCTGGCCGTGGACCTGGGGTGACCCCCACTCCCCTCACCTTGGATTATGATCTGACCCTCCAGCCAGGGGCCACCTAGCCCCTCTTCCTTGCACGGACCTTTCTGGGCATGCGGCTGCCCACAGCCTGCAGGTGTGACCCCCGCTTCCTGGGTCTGGCCTCGGGGAGGGGTCCGGGGCCCCGCCCCTCTAGGATGGCTAGGGGACACCCCCTGCCCAGGCCCAGGCAGCGCCCTCACCCCTCCGACTGCCCCAGAGCTGGGGCTTCCCTGAATGCTGGCCCTGGCCCAACAGCTGATTTCTCAAGGGCCGGGACTACTTGACTTTGGCTTGAGTGGGTGGGCTTCCGAGGTTGGTCAGTTCAACCCAAACGGAAGGGGCCACGCTGCCCTCTGTACTGTCTGTCATTCTGTCGTCGCCGTCGTACCCCCCCCTTGGGGGGCGGGGGGGGGTGCATGGGGACCAGTCATTCCCTGGCATTCCTCCCTTGGAGGGAACAATAAAGTTTTGTGGGTTTTTTTCCCCTGCGTGTGATGGTTTCCTGGGGGAGTTTCCCCTGGCCCCCTCACAGGCCAGGAGACCTCCGGTTGGGCTGCGCCCGGGGCCTCAAGACTGGGGTGGTGGAACCAAGCCCGCCACATGGTCCTGCACCTGTCCCAAGGTGGACCTGGGCCGCGTTGACTTGGAGTGGGCTTGGTTACAACTGGCTCCAAGATGGGGGGAGGAGTTGGGTGCGGGCGCACCAAGAGTGGTACCCTTACCAGCAGCATTTCTGCCCCACCGCCCATCCTGCAGCTTTTTCCAGGGGGGCAGGGACAACACCCAGGGAGATTCTATGGGAAAGGCTTGCAGGGCAGGCTCTGGCTCCGCCCCTCAGTTTCAGTTTCCACTTCCTATCTCGGCTCAGCTCCCGCGGCGTCCGGCTGAGCTGCGCAGAGCTGCCCCGGCCGGCCGGTGGTGCGGGTGAGGCCCGGGCCAGGCAGGGCCGGCTTCGTCCCTGCCTTCTGGGCCAGAACAGATGACTAGAGGCGGCCGGAGTGCCCTGACCTGCTGCCCTCCTGGCTCAAGGCAAATAGCCCCTGGGCAGACACAGGTGTTTTCCAGCAGGGCAAGCCGCAGGTTCCAGGGGGCAGTTGAAGGAAGGGCCCCGTGGGGCTGAGCCCTACCCAGAATGGAGCTGCGATCCTACCAGTGGGAGGTGATCATGCCGGCCCTTCAGGGCAAGAATATCATCATATGGCTGCCCACGGGCGCCGGCAAGACCCGGGCGGCTGCTTATGTGGCCAAGAGACATCTAGAGACTGTGACCCAAGCCAAGGTGGTTGTACTGGTCAACAGGGTGAGTGACCCGTCCTCCCTTCTGGGGGCATCCACTCCCCTGGGGTCTCCTGAACACCAGAGCAGCTGTGCTCACCTACCCCAGCGCAGTACCTTACCCGTCCTGGGGTGACCGTGCTTCCTCCCCAGAACTCTAGCGGCTAATCCTGGTTCTCTCCGCCTCATTCCCCACCCTCAGGTGCACCTGGTGACCCAGCATCGGGAGGAGTTTAATGGCATGCTGGCTGGACGCTGGACAATCACAACCTTGAGCGGGGATATGGGGCCACGGGCCGGCTTCGGCCACCTGGCCCGGAGCAGTGACCTGCTCATCTGCACAGCCGAGCTGCTGCAGACGGCGCTGACCAGCTCTGAGGAAGAGGAGCACGTTGAGCTCACAGGTAGGAGCTGGGTGGGAAGGGAAGCAGCTGGGGCAGACCCTCTACTTAGCCCCAGGGCTCCCCTAGCACATACATTAGTGAAAACAAGTCTGGCTCTAACGCTGGCCCCAGCTGAGCCTCCGTTTCCTGATGAGGCAGTAAACCAGCCCCACTGGCTTGTTTTCCCGAGCCTCAATTTGCTAATGGATACAATGTGTCCATCATCCCCAGCGGGCTGGTTCCCTCCTCAGGACTGGCTGGAGGGAGTGGGGAATTTTGAAACCTTGCCTCAATGCCTTGGGCTAGGGAAAACCCCCTGGTGGGAGGAGGAGCTTTCTCTATGTTGCTCACTTTGGGCACCACCTCCTGTGCCCCTCCTCAGACTTCTCCCTGCTCGTGGTGGATGAGTGTCACCACACACACAAAGACACTGTTTACAACAACATCCTGAGCCAGTACCTGAAACTTAAACTCCAGAGGGTGGGGAACCTGCCCCAGGTGCTGGGGCTCACCGCCTCCCCCGGCACTGGTGGGGCTTCCACCTTCAACGGAGCTGTCAACCACATCCTGCAGGTCAGCCGGTCCTTTGGCCTTCCTATAACCCGGCCTACCAGGGACCTCCTTGACCACCCTACCCCGGCCCCACTCCCCAACCTGGGCTCCCCCGGGCAGGGGCGGCTCCTTCCTCTCCTAAGACACAGCCTTCAATGGTTCCTTAGCAGAATCAGCTCCTTACTCTTTACTCCAGCTCAGAATACGGCGGTGACCTACCCCCCACCTGTCTCTCCAGCCTCGGGTTTCCTTTCCTACCCCCGCCACCACACTCACACTTCACCTCGGCTGACTGTCCTGTGTCCTGGACAGGTCTGGCTGACAGAGGAGCAGTCCAGCAGGGCGGAGGGGGGCACTTGCCCCCCCACAGGGTGCCAGCTGAGACTGACGGGCTGGAATCACACCCCCCCTTAGAGGTTGCCCCTGGGCGCTCTCCCTCTCCCTCTCCTCAGTCTCTGCAGGTTGGTTCTCACCTTTGTGCTTTCTGCTTCTTCTGCTTGAACTTTCCACCTGGCAAGTTACCTGTCACTAACATAGCAGAGAGAAAGTTACAATGTCACCTTACAGAGGTGCTCCCGGCTCACCTCTCTGCACTCCATTTCATCCTCCATCTTTCCATCCTTCCCGGCCTTCGGAAATACTCCCAGGCTGCCCAGCTCACCTCTCCTCCCAACTCCATTCCCAGCCCCTCAGTGGCAGCTGTGGATAGTCATGAAGGGGGACCTGTCCTGCCCCACAACTGAGCCCCTGCCATCTCAGTGCACCCCTCTCTGTTGCCCCCAGCTCTGTGCCAATCTAGACACGTGGTGCATCATGTCGCCCCAGCAACAGCAGCCGCAGCTGCAGGAGCAGAGGCAACACCCCTACAAAGAGTATGACCTCTGTCAGCGGCGCAGCCAGGTACCTGGGGGGGAGGGGGCCTGGGGGGGGGTCCCGTGTGACAGGAAGGCCAGTGACTTAAGGCCTGCCTCCAGCCCTCATTAGCTCTGTGACGTCAAGTGTTTCCTTTCGTCTCTGAGGGGCATCTGTCTGCGCTGTCTGTGAAATAGGGCAGATCTAAGCTCTGCCCACAGCCTGCTGTGGCATCCACGCAGAAGCCACCAAGCCCCCGAGGTGTGTCAGGACCCTGGACACCCTGTCCAGGGCTTTGCCGACCATGAAGCAGGGGCACTTTGTCCCCTGCGGGTGTCTGACCTGGCAGGGCTGGGAAAGGAGGCGATGTCACTGAGCCCAGGCCAGAGCCAAGAGCCCCCCCAACCCCCAAGCACACATTGTCCGTGGAAGCAGCAAACAAAGAGCCCCACAGCCATGGAGTCCATTTGGACCCACAACTAAGAGAATGCCATCCGCATCCCTCAGTTGCCCACGTAGAAACGGATTGGTGCACAAGTAGGTTGTAACTGTGTATGTTCTCAGCAACAGCAACAAAATAACATTGGGGGGGTTGATAAAAGTGGGGCAGGAAAGCCAACAGCCCGCAGAGGCACATGAGGTGGAGGGGGGTTGTCAGCACTCCCACAGACTGTGTATGGGGACCTCCTTATGCCCTCACTCCTTCCTCCCAGGACCCGTTTGGGAACTTGCTAAAGAATATCATGGACCAAGTCCACGACCACATGGAGATGCCCGAACTGAGCCGAGACTTCGGGACCCAGAAGTACGAGCAGCAGGTGGTGGAGCTGAGCCAGACTGGTGAGAGGGGTTGCCCGTGAGGGGGCCAGTAGGGGCGGAGCCTGTATCCAAGGGCGGGCTTTACCTGGGCTAGCCTTGAGGGGCGGGGCTCAGCCATGAAGGCCCGGGCAGAGCCGGGCCTAGTAAGTGACCCGCTTACGCACAGCGGCCGAGAAGGGCTTCCAGCAGCAGCGAGTGTACGCGCTCCACCTGCGGCGCTACAACGACTCGCTGCTCATCCACGACACGGTCCGCGCCGAGGATGCCCTGGCCACGCTGCAGGACTTCTACAACCGGGAGTGCTCCACGAAGGTCCAGGTGCTGGAAGCTGAGCGCTGGCTGCTGGCACACTTCAAAGGTGAGACCCAGGGAGGGCAGGACTGGCCGAGGGTACGGGGACTCCGACTCTGGTATGGGGAGCAAAAGTCAAGGTGGTGGATGTAACCAAAAACTGAGTTACGTGTTAGGCTGCGAGCTTCAAGGTCAGCCGTTCGAAACCAGCTGCACCGCGGGAGAATGAAGAGGCTTTCTACTGCCAGACAGGGTTAGTCTGGGAAACACACAGAGGCAGTTCTACCCTGCCTTCTAGGGGTCGCTGTGAGTTTGATTGTTTTTTGCAGGTGGGGTGGGGGGTTTCATGGGTCAAGGTTTGCATGGATGTAAAAGCGAATGCCCATCATGGCAAAGAGTTTTACAAAATCACCTCGTTGGAACAGCCCCTGAAAGTCCCTCAGACTGGGGAATGCCACGGTCAGAGGGTGAAGTTGGAGGCTGGAAGAGACTTGCGATCTGGAGGCACCTCTGGCCCCCGAGGCCAGGGGGAAACGGTCAAGGGATCAGTGTGTGAGCGGGGCTGAAGGGCACGGGGTCTGCCTTCTGTGGCTGAGGGATTGATTGTACGGTGGTGGACCAGGAGCAGGGCTGGCTTTGAGGTGGGGCGGAACGGGAGGGGCAGAGCCAACGGGGCCCTTGTTCGTAGTCTTGTCACTCCCTCCGAGCTGCTGTTCTCTGCCCCCACCCTGCCCTGCACCCTGTGCCGGGAAGCCCCACGTGGCCAACCCACCCTCACTCACGCTGGGTTCCCTGCCTCTGTTTTTGGTGTCCCGGCAGCTCACAGAAATGAGCTGGTTCACTTGGCAAGACAGGGCCCAGAGAACCCCAAACTGAAGGTGCTGGAGCGGATCCTGCTGAAGCAGTTTGTGAACCCCCTCAACTCTCGGGGCATCATCTTCACCCGCACCCGGCAGAGCGCCCACTCCCTCCTGCTCTGGCTCCAGCAGCAGCCGGGCCTGCAGACCCTGGACATCAGGGCTCAGATGCTCATTGGGGCAGGGACCAGCAGCCAGCGCCCCCACATGACCCAGGTGTGGGCTTGGGCTGGGGACATCCCCTGAGAAAGAAGGAAGGGGAGGGGACAGGGAGGCCCTGGGAGAGGGGGACTGGATGTCCCTAGTATAAGGGTAGAGGGCTTGGGGAGAAGACTGAACTGAACACTGAGACTCTCAGTGCCCAAGGCCACCCCCTTCCCCATTTTGGGGGTCCCAGGGAGAAGAGGTGGGTATTGTGATTCTGCAGGACAGGAGATCAAGGGCCCGAGCCGACGGAGGGGAAAGTATAGGGCCTGAGAGACCCTGTGGTAGAGGGAAGGGGTTTGTGGGTGTCTCTAAGGGACGTAGGAACTGAGTGGTGCTCTGGAAAGATAATCAAGCTCTTTGGGGGTCCTCGGGGAGGGGCTGAGGTTGTGAGCAAAAGAACTGAGTCTGGGCTGGCAAGCAGGCCTCAGGGACCCTCTCCACCCTCTCATCTCCCACCCCAGAGGGACCAGGAAGAGGTGATCCGGAAGTTTCGCGTCGGCACCCTGAACCTCCTGGTGGCCACAAGCGTGGCAGAGGAGGGGCTGGACATCCCACAATGCAATGCGGTGGTCCGCTACGGGCTCCTGACCAATGAGATCTCCATGGTTCAGTCAAGAGGCCGTGCCCGGGCTGACCGGAGTGTGTACTCGTTTGTGGCAGCCGAAGGCAGCCGGGAGCTGCGCAGGGAGCTGGTCAACGAGAAACAGGAGGCCCTGATGAAGCAGGCTGTGGCCGCAGTGCAGAAGATGGACCAGGCTGAGTACCAGGCCAAGGTCTGTGGGCCGCTTGTGGGCCGACGAGCAAGGTGTGGGGCTGAGAGCTGTGCGCCAGCCTCGCCTCTTGAGGCTGCCTTGGCCCCACCTTCCCCACCTGGGGAGGGCTTGAGTGGAGGGTGGAAGAGGCCAGCAGGTGGCGCTGCCAGGAAAGGCACTGGTCTGGGACAGGCCTGGGCCTAAGCATTTCATCCACCCTTGTCACCAGACGCTCTGTCCGGGAGGGCCTCCCACAGGCCTTTGGGAAGCAGGCTTCACAGCCGTTCTGAGGCAGGGCGACCAGAGTCCACCCTCACCAGGCTGCTCCCTGTGTAGGCCTTTTGGCCCCGCGGAGTTATTAACCATGCCACTTTTGTTCTCAAAAATGTCCCAACTT